TGTAATTTTGGGGGTTATAGTAAATAACTATCTAAATTAGAAGACTAAACATTTATAGCAAATTAAAATGTTATATATATAAAAAATAGACCATTCATTACTAAAAATTATAGCATATGGAAAATATTTTATTTGACACAAATCCTTAACTTGTATGTCTCAATCAATATTCACTATGATTTTCCAAAAATTATGAAATCATTTAAAAAATGTTCAAATTCTGAATTTCTCCAATCAAACTTGTTGGATTTAGCATCACTAAAAATCCTAAAATCTTTCTTTAATTTTCTCACATCATTTTTTTCAAATCTTTTACTATTGCTTTTATTTTGTGATTTTTTTAATTGCTCACAGTTTTCTATATAAAAGTCAAAAAAAAAAATTGTATAGAATATTGTTGCATTTGATAAATAAAATATATATTTTCTATACTAAATTTACAATAAAATATAGTAATTCACATAAGAATTATATAAATATACACAAAACACTTAATTGTAATTGATTTGAATTAATTTACATAAAATTAGCTATTATGTTAGAATTAATTGTTAAAGTAACTAAAAGACATTTAATTTTCTTTTTTTTAAATAAATTAATTAAAAAAAAATTGTAATTGCCACATGGGAGCCTTTTGTAGCTTTGGTTTTGAAAAACCTTAAAATATTATATAAGATTTATAATGTATTGATTATTTGTGTATTTAATATCATATAAATTTATTATTAATTATTCCAAATTATTCTTACTACATTAACTACAAAATTTTAAATAAAACTGAAATACAAATTAAACCAAAAATCATAGTTTTTGATATTTCATGTATTTAACTAATATACTATAAATATTTGAATAAAAGTTTACTGAGTCTAAATTTAATAATTATCAAAAAATTCTATGTCACATGTATAAAATCAAATTTCTAAGTATTCAAAATATTGTATTTCTTTGTGAAAACAATCGATTTTTATAGGTATATTCGAAATGTATGTTGTTATTCTTTTTACATATTAAATATTTTAGTTTTCACGGGTACTAGATTTCTTTATCATTTATTCGTAAAATATTATTAGCTTACAAATAAATTGTTCTACATTACTTAAACTATTACAATCATATTCATCATATAAGTCATAATTAACAATTTGAATGATTTTACCATCCACTTTCCAAAATGTATCATTAAAAAACGTATTATTAAATAATTATAATTCTATATTAACAATACAGTTAAATTTATTTGATTCAAAACATGGACAAGAAGCACGGAACCATCTTAGAAAGATGAAGAATCGTTTGAGAAAAAGTTATCAAAAGAAAGAGAAACCTAATCTAAAAAATCTACGAACAATAGCACTTAACGGATCAAAATTTAAATTGTGTTTAGCAGTCCAGTTAAAGAGAATCGATGTAATATAATTTGAACTGAGTTAAGAAGAATAAATGTAATTGTTTTGATCTCGCGGAGAATTATCCTTAATTTCCTTTGTGTTTGATATAATGAAATAATATTGAATGCCCATGAATAC